CATCCTAACAATCTGAAAACAAAGCTGTATTTGAAAAATAAAACCAAAAATGCATTGACTGAAATTGCAAACCATTGCATTCACCCAGTAAAGACACAACATGCCCCATAGATTTTTTGATGGACAGTTTATAATTCTGTTTCCAAAACAGCTGAAAGAGCACTTTAAATATGTCAAGTAGACATCTCCTTTCAAACATATGCAAATAAAAAATGATGTGAGATTATTTCCTTACATCAAATTCCACCCAAGATCAATATGACAACAATGACTTATTGTAAAAAAAAATAAAATGATAGAGTTGCATTTGTTTTCGCTATCTCTGAGCTTGTAAAAAAAAAATGCCTTTAAGACAATTCCACAGAAATTACATTTTCTACTTGCAAACAGCACTGTAAGTTGAAACAATTATGTGTAAGTATTGTTTAAAATTCATATTTAGTTATAAACAAGAAGCGTATACAGCAGAAACTCTTTTGTGTGCTTCTCCCTAGAATTGAGTTTATAAGTTTTACTACCACGTTTTCTTTACAAAATAGCTTACTTTTCATTTGAAATGTAAGATACTTATCTAAAAAAGAAATCTAGTATAGAATAGAAGTTGCATCAGAATGTATGCATCAGTGTAGATAGTAAATTTAGTCAATTCTATTTTTTTCATTTGTTTACTAATCATTTCCATAAATATTTGAGGCATAAATATTTTAGAGAATAGATGGAATACTGTTTTTGCAATATTTCACATATATTCTGAATAAGCAAAGATCAAAAGATTCTGTTTTCATCATTTAATTTAAGTATGACAAAACAGATTATATAAAATGTCACCTTAATATACAAATAATGTGTATGTGGCATTATGCCAACATACAGTACATATACAAAATAAAAGACAAAATAAAAAGGTTTAAGCACTAAACACCTAAAAAAAATAAAAAACACACTGCAATAACATTAATCAATTTTTACCCATGGAGGGCTCCATGCAGCCTAAGCTCTGATAGAGGGGAAGGCTTTCCAATGCTATGTCAAAATTCCCAAAATGCTATATCAAAATTCCCCACTCTATGCAATATGAGTAAGAATGATCTGATAGCCAAGTCTCAAGAAAAAAATGATTCTATTCTTGATACTTGTTTGTCAGAATGCCCTGACTAGTTGGCTTACTAGACATCCAATCAGAGTCTTCTTACTCATATTGCAGAATATAGAAAATATTCCCATAGGATGCAATAGCTGACATACACCTGGCCACAAGGTTATTTTAACCATTTGCATGCTGTCTGCTAGCACTACCCATGAGCAAATCATTTGGATTTTTTAATCTAAATTTGGACACAGATTTGAAGTATCAGGGTCTAGTTTTGAAACATTCGGTCTGGATTTCAGCTACCAAGTAGTGTTTGGTCTGCAAAATCCTGACATTGTTAAATTGGGTGAACAATGTCTGGATTTTGCAGTCTGAATGGCCCTGTATGCAACCAGATGGTTTTGACCCTTTCGGACTTTAATGAATTAAGCCGTTAGTGATGACTAGTCCAGAATGCTTATTTGCTTTATTGTCTGAGTACCAAGAAATAATTTAAAGTTGTCCATACATATATCAATTATCTCTGCTATACAAGGAATTGAAGGTTTCTATTACATCATTTAATGAACCCTTATAGTATATATTTATTGTGTTTGGAGCCCACTATCTTTTTAACTCATTGACTTGTAGAAGCTCACTGTACAGTTAGTAAGGGAAGTTAGTCATTATTTAAAGTCCCTGTGTAGAGATATGGATAACCGGAATGGAGCCCTGGCTGTGAATTGTTTTGCTCTGCAGAGTGAAAACTGATCTTGGGACAAGGAGGGTGGGGTATTATAGACCAAATTTGTATCATTTATACAACTGGGTAGACAATAAAGGGATAACATCTATTTCTGACTACTAGATACCTTTCATGTTAAGAGTATTTGATCCTAATACCTATAGCCCGAGCAATGTTTAATACCCAAATCATTTGTTGAATTAGATTTCATATGCATGGTGCCCACAGAAGGTAATATGTTTGCGACAGGGAATAAAATTTGGTGGTGCACTAAACTGTGAAGTAAAACAAATCGAAACATCATCATAAAACATGAATGAGCATGATTAATTAAGAGAAATATATGAAATGGTTAAATTCAGTTCTAAGTAAGCAAAACATAAAAATACTAAAACAAAATCTCCAGTAGGAACGTATGATAGGCTGAGAAATAAAGAAAAATAAATATAAATAAAGACACATAAAATGTCAATGTTAAAGGGACACTATAGTCACCAGAAAACTACAGCTTATTGAATTTGTTGTGGTGAGTACAATCATTACCTTTATGCGTTTTGCAGTAAACACAGTTTTTTCAGAGAAACTGCTGTGTTTACATTACAGCCTAGTGATAATTCCACTGGCCACACCTCAGATGGCTCAGATGGCTGCCATTCAGGTGTCTCAAGCCTCTGCATGGAGACACTGAAGGTACTTCATAGAGATGCATTGATTCAATTCATATCTATGAGGAGATGCGGATTAGCCAGGGCTGTGTTTGACTTGTGCTGGCTCTGCCCCAGATCTGCCTTCTTGACAGTCTCAGCCAATACTATGGGGAAGCATTGTGATTGGCTCAGATAATCACTAGAGGGGGACTAGACTGTGGTTTTAACACTATAGGGTCAGGAATACATGTTTTCAACAAAACTGTTTAATAAAAATGTAATTGAATGCCTTTGGTGAAATAATAAATGACCCAATAACATTTTCTTTGGAGGGTTTTTTTTTTGTGTGGATCTCACTCTAAGACACAAAAGCTATATTTTTATATTTTATAGATTGAACACAAGTTTTTAGTTTAGTAAACTGTTTAGTCACATATCTGTCTATATTCTTACTTTTATCATGTATACTAGGATTATGTCCTTTTAAGTGGTTATGTAACAAGAGAAAGCGAAAAAAGGCAGAGTTGAGTCTATTGAGAACAGCCACCCAACAAGGGGTTTAAGCCCTAAGAAAAGTTATACTTACACAAGAAAAAAGAATATGGTCCATATGATAAAGCATAACCTTTATTAATGTATTTAAAAATGTGTCTTATTTGTAATTCATATACATATGAAATGGTACCAAAACATAAGATGTACTTGAGCAAAGTATGTGCCAACTCAAACTGACTGAAAGTACCTCACAGACACCAAAGGGCACAAAAATCCTTATAAATATAACAATCCTTATGGTGATGGTCAGAATTGTGGCAACTGACATTTAATGTAGATAAGTGCAAGATAATGCATCTTGGACGTAAAAACCCAAGGGCAGAGTACAGAATATTTGATAGAGTCCTATCCTCAACATCTGACGAAAGGGATTTAGGGGTGATTATTTCTGATGACTTAAAGGTAGGCAGACAATGTAATATAACAGCAGGAAATGCAAGCAGAAGGCTTGGTGGTATAGGGAGAGGTATTAGCAGTAGAAAGAGGGAAGTGCTCATGCCATTGTACAGAACACTGGTGAGACCTCACCTGGAGTATTGTACACAGTACTGGAGACCATATCTTCAGAAGGATATTGATACCTTAGAGAGGGTTCAGAGAAGGGCTACTAAACTGGTTCATGGATTGCGGGATAAAACTTACCAGGAAAGGTTAAAGGATCTTAACATGTATAGCTTGGAGGAAAGACGAGACAGGGGGGATATGATAGAAACATTTAAATATATAAAGGGAATCAACACAGTAAAGGAGGATACTATATTTAAAAGAAGAAAAACTACCACAACAAGAGGACGTAGTCTTAAATTAGAGGGACAAAGGTTTAAAAATAATATCAGGAAGTATTACTTTACTGAGAGGGTAGTGGATGCATGGAATAGTCTTCCAGCTGAAGTGGTAAAGGTTAACACAGTAAAGAAGGCTATCCTAACTATAAGATAAGGCTAGGGACTAATGAAAGTATTTAGAAAATTGGGCAGACTAGATGGGCCGAATGGTTCTTATCTGCCGTCACATTCTATGTTTCTATGTTTCTATGGTGGTCACATGAGAAAAGTGCAATTCCCATCACAATAATTAGATCAAAAAGCATAAAACTATTTGCCAAAAAAAAAGTCTTATACCCCCCACCCCCATACAATATAAGTGGAATAGCTCACTGAGTCACACCCGTCATATCTAGTAAACTCTTTAGATACTGAATCTCAAAGTCCTGAGTCTGAAGCGAGAAGGAATAGCAGAAATTAATAGAGTGAATACAAATACAAAAGGGACTTCACAGCATTGTTCCATAATCCTTCCCCTAATTTAGAGTTTTTTTTGACTCCTAGAATAATAGTGACTGGCAGAGCGCAGCGCAGAAGTACCCAATGCATTTTGCTCAATTATTTGCCCTCCTGGTATTCTTTTTTTTTTTTTTTTTTAATGAAGAATTATCCTTGGTAAACATCTTTAATGCCTAAAGAAAATTACATTTTATTTGTATGATAATTGAGAAAAATGGTCGGGTGCCTCTGCGCTCTCCCAGTCAATATTATATACTGGATACCATACTTATTACACCTATCCCTTGCCGTTGCTTATTAATTGAATTGTGTTTCATCCTGTTTATCTGTCCCTTACCAGCATGTTATTTCTTTTGAATATATTATGTGCTGGTGTACAGGGAAGTCTTAGCATGTTTTTTTTTTTATTTATTTTTTGTCTAATTCAATGTTTCATTCGTTTTGGAGACTTTATTCTGTGGTTAACTATATCATTTTTTGCATCTATTTTTTTTTCTTTCAGATTCTTGTCACATGGTTTTCCTTTTTCCTGCTGTTGTCACTGAGCGTATTCACTCTATTTATGCATTACTTTTCTATTAGTTTTCATTTCACAACCATTCAATGTTAGTACCTGCCACTAGTATATTAAACACTGCTCTTATTTATAATGTTACTATAAATTCTATACATGAATATATGATCCCTACAACATTATTTGTCCTGCCCATATCACTTCCTGCAGAAACAACCTTACAAAATGTTGGGCCCTAAGAAAGACACATTCACTCTCTTCAATATTACTCCATCCAGAGGAGATGATGTAGGTACGGATGCACGTACCGAAGGGCGGATTTAAGGTGGGCAGGTGGAGGTCGAGAAGAGGTGCGGCGTGGTCGGAAACAAAAGATTTCGGTTTGTTCCGAGATGATAAGCGGCGGTTGTAAGCCGAAGAGGTGAACGGCAGTGGAAGACGCGACCCCACCCGAGGAGATAAGTGCATTAAAAGCCCTTTTTTTTTTTCATTTCTCTATACATGCTGTATACTGCTGTTTAGTTGCTTGACTGGGTTGAATGTTTACATGGTGTGTTCAATAAAAACATGGCAACATTTCATTCTTTGTGTGTTATTAGTTTAAGCAGACTGTGATTGTCTATTGTTGTGACTTAGATGATGATCAGATCACACTTTATGACCAATTTGTGCAGAAATCCATATCATTCCAAAGAGTTCACATACTTTTTCTTGCACCTGTATAAATAAAAGAAGCTGCACTTGTATAAAATTATAATAGAGGCTAGATTAGATCAAGAAAGAGAGAAAAAAACTGGAAGGGAACAGACACAAGAATATAGTATGAGAAATATTGAATAGCAATCTTTATATATATATTTTCACAGTATTTATAAAGAATAGAATCAATGTAAAAAAAAGAAAAGAAAAAAAAGCAATTTATGACACTACACACAACTAAAGGAAACAAAAGAGGCAGCACTTGTATAAAATTATAAAAGAGGTTGGATTAGATCACGAAACAGAAAAGAAAAGTGGAAGGGGATAGACACAAGAAAATAATATGAGAAATATTGAAGAGTAATTTGTAAATTTATTTAATTATTTTTTATTTGTTTATTTTTTCTGGAATCCCAAGTACTAAATAGAGAAGTTAGTAGAAAAAGATAGGCAATATCAATAAATGAAAGCACAAAAGGAATTAGAAAAATAAAAACAAAGTAAACAACAAAGTTACAAAGTTACAGAAATTATCTCCACCTCCACAACGTCCAAATTACTCCGCCCATGAGTTCTTAGTAGGACTTAGAGATTGCCTAGAAGAAGGCATTTTAAGCTTATGTGAGTGAAGATCTCTGAAATATAGAGATCTTAGTAGAAGAAGGTAGAATGGATGAGTGTATAGGAAGCATGAATGTATTAGGTACAGTGGTGGATGTCATTGTGGTTAAGGATAACCGCCGAGGAAGTATGAGAGGTTGGAATATTAGACACTCAATGATGAAATTAATCTCAATTAACATCCAGGGTCTAAATACTTCTCATAAAAAATGGGCATTTAACATTGGACCCTTAAAGAAAAAAAACAGGTGGTGTGAAAGATTCTTTCCATTAGTAATTAGCGCTTCTAAAAAAGAAGAAAAAAGAGCAGGAGTGGCAATTATGGTTTCAAAATACATACAAGTAGAATTACAACATCAGAATAGCGATATAGAAGGAAGGTTTTTAATATTAGTTTGCACAATTAATGGTGATCTTTATACATTAGTAAATTGCCCAATATCAACCCGATGAAATTATTTTCTCAAGTTCTAGAACGAGTAGAAAAAATTGCCATGGACATAGCACTGGATTAACATAGGAAAAATAATACAAGTATAGATAAAAAAGGCATAAGGAACACTAGAACCTTTTCCAATATTATTAAAAAAAATAACCTATATGATATTTGGAGAATAAGAAATCCTACAACCAAAGAATATACCTTTTACTCATGGCCCCACAATTCTTATTCAAGAATAGATTTTTTTCTAGGAGACTCAAGAACAATAGAAAAAGTAGAACAGAAAGAGATTAAAACAATGATCTGGTCAGATCATAACAGTATCATATTGAAACTAAATGAAGGGAAGATCATTCACCCCAGGACAACCTGGAAATTAGATGAGTCAATTCTATACAATAATGAAAATCAAGAACTTTTGAGAAAAGTCTCAGAATATTTCTTTGCAGAAAATAGTCCCTTAGAGTCATCAGATCTAACAATATGGTGTGCATACAAGGAAACTATTAGAGGGCATTGTATAAAGATTTTTTTTTTTTTTTTTAAATACAAAAAACAAAAGGATTGGGATTATCTATGTTATATATTCAACTTTATCAAACTATCAAAGAATATAAAACAAATTTAGATAAGGAAGGTCAAATAAAAATAGGAAAAATTATACAGACCATAAAAAATAAAATATTAGAAAATATAGAAAAAAAATGTCTAAATTAAAAACTAAGTATTTTATCGACAAAACATGGCAGATTAAATTCTATCAAATCAGCTAAAAAAAATTCAGGAAATAATGTGAGGAGGCTGATAGATGCAATGGATATGTCGGACAGAAATAAATATCCCCTGCTGATCCTGTCTCTAGATGCAGAGGAAGCGTTTGACAGGGTCAGCTAGGGATTCATGTTTAAGGCCTTGGAAGCATTCAATATCTCAGGGTGAATGTTGGATGTGAAAGGCGCTTTGTATGCTAATCCATCAGCAAGATCTATAGGCCAAAATATATGTTCTACCTGGTTTGGATTAGAAAACGGAACGAGGCATGGATGTCCCCTGTCTCCAATCCTATACATCATTACAGTAGAAATTTTTGCTTTAAAAAATAAGACAAAATCAGTTAATAAAGGGCCTTAACACATCTAATGGAGACATAAAAATATCACTATACCAAAACAAATATAGCTTCTCTCAAACAGGATTTGTATATCTAGGGATTAGAATAAATAAACATATAAATAGACTAATGGAAACAAATTTCTTACACCTTTTAAAAAATACCAACAAAGATTTAAAAGAATGGCGCCAAGTAGAAATATCATGGTGGGGGAGAGTCAACACCCTAAGAGCCTATGTCCTTCCTAAATGGATATACTTGTTTAGGATGTTGCCATTAACAATTCCTGTCCCATGGATAAAAATGATTAAATCTGCATTTGCTAATTTTGTATGGAGAGGCAAAAAGCCCAGGATAAAAATAGATACACTAAGTAAACATATAAGTAAAGATGGGCTAAGTTATCCGAACATAGAAAAATACTACGAGGCGGGGATAATTTCACATATAGCAATATTGCAGAAAGAAGCTACATATAAAGAAGGCTGGTTCTGGTTAGAATCTGAAATATGTCAAACTAAGAAGTTAGCTAATATAGTGTGAAATAACAAAAAATTTGAATATTCTACCTCTTATGTGTTAAATCATCTAGTTCCCATTTGGGAAAAGATAAAAAAAGAAATTAGAAATTAAAAACAAAATTTTCGGTTTCCAAAATATAGAACACATTGAAAGAGAAATACCTAATATTTCTCTTAAAAAATGGAAAGAAGGAAATATTATAAAGGCAGAAGATATATATTTGGATAATAAGGTAAAACCCTTTAATATACTAAGAAGTGAAGCGTCTCATTTCAAGAAGCCTTTTCATACTTAAGAGTGAACAGCTACCAGTATTTAAAAAAGTATAATTTTATGAATCAATGAGATATGTATAATGCAATCAAAACTATATTTGATAATAATGAAACAAAAAAACTATTATCAAAGAGTATCAAATTATTAGATACTAGAGTAACAGAAAATTATCCAACAGCAATAAAAAGCTGGGAGAAACTCCTACATATTAACATAGATATAAAAACATGGTATGAGACATTAATTAAGGCAAATAAATACGTGCACAGTATACACTTAAGGAAATCCATTATAAGGTGATAAATAAATGGTACTTAGTACCTTCTAGAATGTCTAGAATATCATCAGATAATGATCACCTATGTTTGAGATGTGGAGAATTAAGAGGGGATTATCTTCACATATGGTGGAATTGTAAGAAAGTGACCCCCTTGTGGAGTTGGGTGAGAACTTTGTTATTCAAACTAGATAACATTAAAGTAGAGACTAGCCCAGATATGATGCTGTTACATTTAAGATGGCCTACCTTAAACAAAAGAAAACAAATATTGGTAATACACTGCTTGATAGCGTCAAAATTAATTATAGCCAGAAACTGGAAAAAGACACAGGAATTTTCTAAAGTGATGTTCATCCAACAAGTAAAATTTCAGATACGAATGGAAATAGGTGTAAATAGAATTAGAAGTAATTATAGAGATAATGATATTTTGATTAACTGGTTAAAATCGCTGGAACAAGAGGAGAAGGACCTAACACAAGAAATAATATAAGTTAGCCATCATATACTTCCCGACTGTAAAATAAGAGATAAGATTAATGAGACATCACTACTGCACCAAAAAAATGTATTAGTGAATGATGAATGAATGTGGATTGAGAAATTTATTCCATATAAGTTGAGGTGTTAACTCCCTCCCATCATTCATTTTATTGGCTGAGATACAGTCTCTCACATGATTGAATTAAAGAAAGTTAAGAAACAGGTGATAATTTAAAAAAAAAATAGGTTAAATTAGGATTATGTTAAAAGAGAGACAGGAGGAGGGAATACACTCTAGAGATGATGACTCTCTACCAAAGCCTTAAACAATGATGTATCTGAAAAATATTTTGGCTGGTATTGTCTGAAATGGGGAAGAACAAAAAAAAGAAAGACACATTTGGGGGCCCATCTGAAAGAACCCCAAATGTGCCAGTGTAGCTGCCTTCAGTCAAATGTTGTGTGAAACCACACATTTTCCTTGTATTAGAGTGATCAGACCCTGAGTAGTTAGGCAAAGCCTAGACAGCACAGGGACACGTGATTGTGAGTGGGAGTGTATAGATAGAATGGTAAGGAGGTCTTTGAGTGGTGGGAGGAGTATTAAGGGTCAAAAGGCATGGGTTAGTATAAATAGGTGGCATCTTACAGGATAGCAGGCATCTTAATTATTAGTTAGTAACAGCTTCCCCCCCCTCCCTCCCCTTGTTGTGTCTTATTTATGTTTGTTTGTGTTGTTTCTTGTCACAGCATGGCAGTATATGGCCCTTGTAAACCGTGGGTAGGAACTGCGGTCAATGGAAAGTGGATGGGTAGGGCTGTCCCCCCCCCCTAATCTCAGGTACAGTTATGGATAACAGACGTGACAACTGAGCCAATAGTCAGCTAGTGGTTAGCATTACGAGAATGGAAGGCCCAGGAAAAGGCCTTGTGCTGGTTGGAACGAGAGGGGAGGGCAGCTGC